TATAATACATTATAATTTCATTCTAGATTAGCATTATCTAACATTGCATCAATATCAAAATTTGTTGTTCCATGATCGACCTCTTCTTCAAATTCATGTTCTAATTCTAAGTTATCTATGATTGAAGTAATATCAATAATATTTTCAAGCATTATATCTGTATTACTAAATGCATTATCTATATTATTATTAGATAATAAATTTTCTAATTCTTGTTCATCCTCTTCATTATTAAACAATTCTGTTTCAGTAAACATTGCATAAATGATATCTGCTATTGTGTTTTCTAAGTCTTCATCTGAAATTTCTTGATTAATATAATTAAGCTCACTTGCATTGGTAATATAGTATGAATGTATTTGTGCCATAGCATTTAATCGATTTATATCCAATCTATAAAAATTATTATATATATTAGAAAATAATATTAAATAAATTTAATATAAAAATTAATTACCTATTTCGATGTTGTTCTGTCATCCAATTAAGAACTGAAAAAACACGTTCGCAAGCTGCTTGATGAGGCACTATTGCCAATATTTTAAGTGCTAATTTTTGAATATGATTATTTCTTTGATCAATAGTCATCCACCAATTTTGTACAGATGAACTATATAGATCGAATGAAATATCATAAGGATCTTCATATTGTTTATATGAAGTCATTTGCGATAAAAGTTGTGTACTACTATATTTTCCACCATCCATTTTTAACCAAATTGATAATGCAGTATGACAAACTCTACAAAAAACTCCTGGTAAGAATCCTTTTCCTAAAATTAATAATAATATATAATTAGTTAAAATTATTATTATATATTATTAAATTTAATAAAATATAAATACTAACCACGAAAATATGGATGAAAAAAGTATCCTAAAAGAAAAAGATCTATATCAAATTCTGCCCATCTACGATTATATATATTAATACATAATCTTTTAAATTCTAAGTTTTGAATGCTTGGAAGTTTTTTAATAGCATTTGCCATTTTTAAAAGATCAACAAATATTGATGCAAGTGTTGCTGTTTTAGATTCGACACTTGTTATAGCTTGTTTTGGAGCTTCTAATACTTTGTGAAGTTGTTCAACATTTATCCAAAATTGCCGATCAGAAATAATTTTAATAATTTCAGTCTTCTTAAAAAGTTTAGGGTGATTATCAATAGCCTAATAAAATTATAATTAAAATATATAAATAAAATAATAATTATATAAAAATTTAAGTTAAATTAATTACCGCTTTAATTATAAGTTCGCATCTTAAAATTGAATCTGTACAATCCCAAGCTGTTGACCAACGAGATTTGTAAGATGATTTTAAACCTCCTCCAATAATAAGCTGTTCAATTAATTCTTCTTTAAAAATTGCACCAGCTCGATATACTGTTCGAAAATGCTTAATAATTACTTGACATTTTGATAAAATATTTTTTGCGAATTTTATTTTAATAATATCTGATGTAATTAAATTTAATAAATGTGCAATACATCGTATTGGCACAATAGATGGATATTTAGAGCTAATTAATCTTATAGCTAATTGCATTGATGCTTCTCCATCTGCAACAATTGCT